AAACATCTACGTGTGTTTCGGCGGGATTGTGTTTTTTTTTTTTTTGGGGGGGGGGGAGGAAACAACAGGCTGTGGGACGTCGGCGACCAGCGCGGTGCCCCAGATGTGGGGTCTGAACTGCAAAGGCACCTCCCTGCAGCCGGGCTTGGAAGGGAGGGAACAAGCACCAGGTTTTTTGGGGGGGGGGGAGGAAACAACAGGCTGTGGGACGTCGGCGACCAGCGCGGTGCCCCAGATGTGGGGTCTGAACTGCAAAGGCACCTCCCTGCAGCCGGGCTTGGAAGGGAGGGAACAAGCACCAGGTGTCATTAGCTGGTGGGTGCCCTGCAAAGCTCGCCCTGCTGGTCCTGCTCATCTAAAGCCACTTATTTCCCAGCCCTGCCAGCAGTGTTGCTGAGCACCTTCCCTCAGGCTCCAGGGAGAAGTCGATGCTGCAGGGAGGGCACTGCACTCCCCCGTGCTGTGACCTGCACCACACGTGGCAGGTGTTAAAACAAACAGAACTGAACACCTTCCTAAGACCCAAAAATCGAGCCAGAATTGGTGCAGAGAACAGCACAGGGAGGTTATTCCCCTAAAGCTCCTGCACAACACAGAGTGTGGAAGGAGACAGACCCAGCTGCATGTATGAAATGAACTAGTGTGGATAAGCTGGTGCTTGTTGTATACCCAGAGGTGTTGAAGGTGAGGTATCACACAGGGGAGAGGAGTTTCCAGCCCAACAACACACGTGTGAGCAGAGCTGTGAGGCAGAGCCCACCAGGACGTTCCTTCCCCAGGACAAACTGTGGGGGCTGGTTCCTGGGCTTGGTGGCAGAACCTGCCCAGCCTGGTAACTGCCCCAGCAGCTCCACAGCCTGTTCCGCTTTAGGAGGAACCAAGGCCTTTTGTTACAGGTCACTGCAGGCAAAACAATTTCTCTGCAATTTGTGGGCTCAGATGCAGCCAAAAAGAGCATTTGGCTTAAAAACGCTCAGCACTCATAGAGCTGCAGAGTCAGTGTTTGGTGCAGCAGCCACAGCCTCCAGGCTGAATTTTGTACATTTATTGCATTTCTGTGCTGGTCAGCAGAGATCAACACTGCCCTGAAGACTTCTCTATTCACCTCATTACATTGGTCTTGCTCAGGGCTGGCATCTACTCCTCTGAGCATTAATACAATGACTCTCGTGTCTCTCTTCTCTCTCATTCTTTCCCTTTAATATATTCTCATCCCTTCTTTCACTATCACTCTGCCCCTGATATCTTTTTACCCTGTTTTCTGTGCCATATAATTCATATAGTGACATACGGGTTCATATAGTGACAGAAGGGATCAACCAATGGTATTATCAAACTCCCAGATTGAATCAGACCACAGAAACCAGTTGGGTTTTTCCCCCCCTAAATCTGGTCTGGTTCATTTCCAGTGTCTAGTTAGCAGATCTACAGGAGGGCTGGCATTGTATTCTTCTTAGAAGCACTGTTCCTCTAGAAGAACAACAGTTGTTGCACTGAACAAGAACAATTAACAGTCTAGCAGGGCATGGTTGGCAAGGGGCTGTTCCCAACAGAGCTTCACCTTTTTGGCAAGCCCATTTGGCTGCTGCAGTTATTTTGTTGGTGTCCCCTGCCCTGGTCACACTGTGGTTTCCTGACTGACACTCCTGAAGCATGATGAGGGCTGGGTAGACTGCCTGCCAATTTATTCAGCTGCAGGAACTCAGGCTCTGGTGCCTGGTATTAAGCCACTAACTTCCTTCTTCACACCTTAGTCTTTCCCCCAGGTGAAGTGCACTGCTGTGCTGCAGTACTGCTAGTCCAGAAACCTGCCAGCACATCCAACATGAAAGGAGGTAACTTTTCCATTCTTGGTGGTTGGAGGTTTCAGGGAAGGAACTCTGG